TTTTTTTATGATATGCTTCTTGGCTTTGGAATCAACGCTCAGTTTCTACTGTGGGTAATGAACTATAGTTCGCTAGATATAAAGGCTGTACATTAACTGTACATGTATAAACATAATAATTCAATTATGTATGTTTCTCAAACATTCCACAGTGGAACAAATAGGTAGTATGTATAATTACAGCTGTAAAAATGATAATGCTCCTCCTATTGCTTTTCTAATAAATACAAAAAAAGAACTGACAATAAAGAAAACACAAAAGATCTGGATTGCCCTATTTCCACAAAATTGTCAATTTTTCCCATTTCTCTTGTGTCCTTTACACATTTGTTTTTGGATTCGGACAGGTGCCTGCTAAACACTTTTGAAAATGTGCATGTGTTTTATCTTTTGCTTTTCTTGCAGATGCTCGCCACCCTGCTGATCTTTCGCCAGTTCCTGCAGAACATCAAAGAGGTCTTGCAGCCATATCTCTATGAGCAGAACAAGCTGGGTGTCTTCACCCCAAAGGTGCTCTGGGAGCTGCTCCAAGCCATCATGCTCAAATACGGCCGACTGGCTCTGGGGAAGGCCCAAGCCTCAATGACAGCATACTCCTTCCTGGGCCCCAGAGGGATGTCCGTCAGTCACAGCGCTAACAGTAACCCAGAGCTGAAGAGAAGAGGGGACCTGAAAGCCGGATTCAGGTTGACAGAAGAAGAGTGGGACATGAACGACAGTGCTCTGAAACAACGCAAAGTCAGTTTCACAGAGAAGGTTGACTACCAGGACGTCACAGCGGAGGTGCAGGCGGGGGATCGCAGCTTCCTTGAGGACAGTCCTACACTGGTAGAGGACGGGATGAATGCATCAAGTATTTTTGACAGTTGTGACGAGGACAGTGATTGTGAACTGCTGTCTCAGGTATGTTGTCTGCTTAGTATTATTAGAATTTATCATCCCACACTGCAGCTTTATGCTCTTCAGTCTAAAGTTGTTCAACAATCATTGCCTCCCTCATTTTGAGAGATTAATGTGTTTTCATGTAGTTATATGAATTATAGATAGGGTTGGTAATTAGTTTCTGAAACAGTTTTTATCTTATTTGTTGAAATCTTCTTCATGTCTGGATAACTATCAATAAATAAATTTGTCTGGGAACAATAGCTGATGTGTGTGGCTCTTGCAGGACTGTAATAAAAGGTCAGTGCACGCTCATGTGTTTCTGGATCTTTTACAAGAGGGCTGATTGAAGGGGAGGGGGATGTAATTTTTCAAAGTGTAGACTGCTCTTCTTAGCTTTTCCAGACTTACCAACCCTCGCTTTAAGTGGCATTCTCTGTGTAAACACATCAACTTCACACCAATAGCTGAGCGACAATCCACTGAAAAGCTGCAGAATTTCAGATGTCTCACTAGAGAAAGTATTTTAGATTTATGTTAAATGTCGGTTTACTTCTGCAGGAGATGAAGGAGAACGCCACTGTGTCCTCTCCGAATGACACCCTTTGCCATAGAAGAAAGAATGTTGCGGAGGGTAAAGAAGACAAGAAGTCGTGGATCGATCCGCCAGAGGAAACCAAAACTGTGACTCTGACCCAGGCTGAGATTGAGAGCTGTATGCAGACGTACGAGGTGGGATTACTGATCCAGCCAGCAATGACCATTTTACTTTTAACAAACTAATAATGGCCAATGTTCATCAAAATCCATGATGTTTGTACCCAGCAGGACACACTTCAGGATTACCAGGAGATGTTCATTCAGTTTGGTTACGTGGTGCTCTTCTCCTCTGCGTTTCCCCTGGCAGCCATGTGCGCGCTCATCAATAACATCATCGAGATCCGCAGTGACGCCCTAAAACTCTGTACTGGCCTTCAGAGGCCGTTCGGCCAGAGAGTGGAGAACATAGGACAGTGGCAGGTCAGTGTGTCTTGTCTTGGAGGATGTGAGGTAAACCGTCTGATGACAGAGCCTGTAAATGTTTCCTTGTCTCTTTCTCTCAACACCAGACTGCTATGGAGGCTATGGGCTTGATAGCCATCATAGTTAACTGTTACCTGATTGGTCAGTGTGGGCAGCTGCAGCGTCTGTTCCCCTGGTTGAGTCCAGAGATGACCATCATCTCCATTGTCCTACTGGAGGTAAACTGTAGTTTTAAGAAAAGGCAGTTTTGTTCCCAAAATGTTGCTTTTTTTAACATTACAAAAATACAAATGTGCATGGTCTGCTAATTGTTGTTTTGATTTAATAATGAACAACAAACCTCATAAGCGTTTGTGGTGTGTGTATGAGATGAGCTGTTTTTTTCTGTAGAGGAAAAATACAGAATGAAACATGATTGTTTCTTGACGTAACCGTGCGTTGAGTCTGTCCCTCTGTGGTCTTGGTGGTTTACAGCACTTTGCAATCCTCCTAAAGTACGTCATCCATGTTGCCATCCCTGATATCCCTGGCTGGGTAGCAGAAGAGATGGCCAAGCTAGAGTACCGACGAAGGGAAGCTTTCAAGGTATAGTCGTGTCATAGCTTGAAAGACCTTCGGTCAACATTAAGCCTGCTGTATATATGTATATGTACCCCTTTGTGTCCTCTGGTCTGTTTGTGTGCATTGTCCAAAGATGTACACCAGAGCAATTCTTTTTTGACTGTCCATGAAAAAAGTGAATGTGTTTGTCTGCATAGTGTTGTATATCATCAGTGGTCCTGGACTATAATTTAAAGTCCTCCTCTCAAGAAAATCCCCATTTTAAACATGTGAGCATGTCCCCCTTGTGCCTTTTACACACGAAAGGCATATTTTAAGCCAAAATAAAAAGTCAGTACCATGGCTGATTATTTCCACCTCAACAGCAGAAGTTAAACAAATGCCAGTCTGAAAAAAACTAACTCAAACAGCCAGGATTTGTGATGTCACAAACCTAAGAAACCAATCTTGGGCCCAGTAGCTGGAAAAGGCAAACAGGTCTAGCTCTTCTAGAGTGTTCACCACACATGTATTCATGCTTCTTCTCCTCTTCGGCAACTTCTTCTTGACATGCCCTCCCCCCTTTTAGAAACATGAGCAGCAGGCCCAGCAACATTTCCAACAGCAGCTCAGACGCCGGCGTGAAGAGGAGGAGCTTCAGCGTCAGGCCGAGCTGCAGGCCGAGGCCCGTCAGGAGAGTGAGTACCACAAGGCCGACAGCCAGCACCAGCATCACCACGACAAATCATCGGGGGGCAAGTCGGGGGACAAGCCCAAGAGACCCAGCTCTCTGCTGGGAAACAACAACGTGATGAAGCTGAAACAGATCATCCCTCTCCAGGGGAAGTTCTCCTCCAGCAACTCACGCTCACCGGCTCAGTCCCCGACAGGAGGTGAGGCCAAGCTGCCTGGTTTTTTGAAGTTCCTGAAGTCGCCCGAGATGAAAAAAGAGCCAGCGGTGGCAGCTGGGGCAACACCAGGTTCAACAGTCTCCTCTTCAGTTCTCCCTAGTGGCCAGGAGAGGTCACAGTCCCCCAACAGGACATTCAGTCCTGGAAAGCTGTTCAGTTTCAGCAAATCGGAGGGTACCATTGTGTGTGCCAACGGGACACAACCAGGGACCCAGGTTGCTGCCAGTCAGCCCAACAAGAATGACTTAAACACGATGCTGGAGGAATTACCCTCTAATGAGTCAGATAAAGGAGAATCAATCAGACAACTGACTGAGCTTGAAAACTCTGGCTCGAAAGGTTAATTAACCTTTCATCCATGCCAATGTAATATTACAAATGGAGAGCAATGTAGAAATGTTCAGGCGACATTCACGGTTCTTTAGGAGAACATGTCAGTCACAGGCACCACATGTAAGTCAGCAAGCGTTAGACTTCCACTCTGGATGCAACTTACTCCGCACAAAATACGACACTAACACCTGATTATCTCGCTTCCACGTAAACTATGTACAGCAAGTGTTTGAATGGAGGGTTGAGAAACGTACGGTTTAAATACTGCATGAATGCCTGGTTTCCAACAGCACCAGAAAAGATGATGCTGTCAAGCATCTTTTTAAAAACAAAATCAAAACATATAAAGAACCTTATCGTCATGGAGCCCGTTTTGTCAGAGGGTCATGAACAGCAGCTTCCCATTCCACGTCCGTCTCCTTCCAATGCCTGTATTAGAATGCATGTTGCGTCATGTGCATGCATTGCGTGTCCACCATGTGTTTTTCAGTTAAGCACTTTCAGATCCATTGTATTCCTCCGCAATAGGTCCAATTATATTCACTGTGACCATAAAAAAAAAATCTATTTTTCTTAAATTTGATTTTCTATGAATTATTTTACTACATAAATTAGTGAATGTACTTTTAAGATGCAAACAAATCTCACTTGAATAAACGTCCATCAAATGACGATGTATCAGCTGATTTTGTTAAAATGATGAATACCACTGGATGGTAGAGCGTGTTGCTGGGGAATTGTATGTGAATTTCTCTGGAGAATTGTAACCTATGAAAACAAACCCCTCTTGTATAAAACCAACTCCTATGGAGATAATAATGGCTCCACGGCAGCGACGAGAGGAATTATGTTTTGGGTTATCTCTCCATCTTATTCTTGTGAACACAGTGTTTCTGCCAAGAAGGACTTTCTTCAAATTTGTTACAACTGTTTTTACTTGACTCACGGATGAACTGAGGAAAGGTCCAATTTTGATCAATCTGGAACAACCAAAGGGAATTTCATTCCATTAGGTACAAACATAGACTCAGTCATTATCTGATTAGAATTTGTAAGTTTGGAGGTCAAAGTTGACTGTGACTTCAAAAAAAACCTTTGCCTCGTGAACATGTTATCTTAAGAATGCATCAAAGGAATCCTTTTATATGAGCACAAATGTTCACTTAAGACACAGATGAACTGATTATATTTGAGTGGTCATAGTCACATTGACCTCACCACACGATATTTCAGGTCTGCCTGTGTTGACTTTCTCATGGTGACCTCATATGAGTCTAGAAAAATGTCAACTGAAACTGCACTGGTTAGTGGATGGCGACCAAAGTTCAGTAAATTCGTTCCAAATTACAATTCATTCGATCTGATAAAACATCTACAATAATTATATGGGAAGGATGAGATCTTCTTCAGTTCCCCTGAAAAAATTTGAATTTACTGAGTTTTAAACAATACTGTATTTTACAGAGTACACATGCAAGAACAAGACCTGAAATCGACAACACAGTTATACAATAAACTCAAAGCAAAGCATTTAACATAAAGACATTCAAAACTTAATCAGGTGATGTGATACAAATCTTATCACGAAAGTAAAATAAACACACTTTTATATGAAGAAACGGGGAAAATAAATCACTGCATGTCTCTAGTTTTATGTCTCGAGCAACTTAAAGAGTGTGCGTTCTACTTGGACTGACTTTCAGAAGCAGCAAAGTTTAACAGGTGCTATGTAAACCTTTGAACAGCTGAACAACTGTAACATGTAAAAATTCACATGTATAGACTGTAAGCGTTGCCAGACAATGACAACATGGTTAATACAATTAGCAACAGATTACTTTATATTAAAAGGTGCAAAGCAAATTAAGTAATATGCTTCTGTTTGTTCTTTGGCTAAACAGTGAAATGACAACATGGCTGACCTGGGGAAGATAAAGTGTTAAGTTGTCTTATTACCTGATAAGAGGGTCAGAACAATCACAATATTCACACATTACAAATGTAGAAACGTGTGGAGCGTTATGCAACAGCTTTACGAGCAGCTAAGAGACTGTAGCCCTGCTATCAAACATATTCCCCCAACAAATGACCCATTTCATTAAATACTGTGCCAATCGTGCAAGTACACAATTATTGAGCATCGTACTTAGAAAGTGGCTACAGAATATAAGGAAAAATTTGTTTACTTCATCTAGTATGACTGTGTTGGCTTTAATGTCTCCTCACTGATACTAATATCCACTGTGTTCAGCAGTTGTTCATTTCTTCCTGAAACAATGTTGGAAAAGGGAGAACTCCAAAAAAAAATGTGAAAACTCACTTATTTCCAATTAAGGCAACAAACAATTATTTATCAGAAAAAAATAGACATATCTCTTTAAACACTTTTCTTCTTCAATAACAAAACCCTGAATATTCAATCTAAGCAAGGAACACAGTGCAGTTTTAATTTCACTGTGCCGACAGTGATCACATTAAGGATGAGCTCCTACTACTATTGGAGTAGGAGCTAAAAAAGATGACATGCCACTAATCCCATATACAGACTTAACTTAAAATATGCATATCTCTGAAATGGTAGGAATGCCGTCAACCTCAGACCCTTACATAGCAGCAGAGGAGCAATGACTTCACTCTCTGCATATTTAAAAGAAAACTGTGAGCGTAAGTGAATGAAAACCAGAAGAGTTAAGGTATAAGGAGGTAGATGTATGTTATTTTCTAAACTACAAAGAGTAAAGTCTGAGGCAGAGCTTTTTGGAAGTAAAGGAAGTAGCAAGGAAATCTGTCTGATTTTGAATGAACATTGGGGTTGACTGTGGTGTGAAATATATTGATCCTTCTGTGAATCAGTGTCCGGGCCTGGGTTGACAAACACACATCCTGAATCTGTGCATTTGTGTGGGTCAGTCTCTGCTGGGTGTGCACTGGCGACTTGCTTTATGAATCCTCGTTCAGCTCTCGACTGTCAGTTCTGGCGATTTTTCTCGGAGGTGCCGTGTTGTCCCCCTCTGCTGGTTCCTGCTCTCGCTTTTTTGCTGCATTCTGATAATGCAAGAGAAGAAAGAAGATAATTAACAAACGAGTACCACTAATAAACATGATATCTACTGTCACAGAGAACTAGCATCTTTACCTTTTTGTCCCACTGTTGATGAAGATATCGCAACAAGATGTTTGTCTTCTCTGTGACGATGACTGAAAGTAAATAACACAAAAAACGTTGAAAGTTGAAATCAGCTGTTCTCACAGAGAGTAAAAAACTTCAACAGATTACTCAATGTCAACTGAGATGTAAAGATGACTTCCTCAAATTGAAAGCTGAAACTAATTTTATTTGATAATCTATAGTTCTGCTCTTCCTCCTGCTCAACGGACATCCTCTCAATATACTTACTCTGCTCTGATGGATATTCCCGTGTCGGTAGATACACAGATGGTCGACGGTTCTGAAAGAGTATGAAGATCCAAATTAGTGTGAAAATGGACTAGAGACTAAAAAGGAGTAGAACGATGAGACCAGGCGTTATTGAATTTGAGACCAAAGTCAAATTAAAGTTTTGTTCTTCTAAAGACCTAGAAACAGAAATTCATGCTCTTGCCACCTCTCAGCTAGACTACTGCAACTCCCTTTATATGGGGTTGCCTAACTCCACCCTCTCCTGAATACAATTGGATCAGCTGCTTGACTTTACACAGGCAACATATCACTCCTATTCTGGCAGAAATACACTGGTTACCAGTTAAATATAGAATTGATTTTAAAATGTTATTGTTAATGTTTAATACTCATTACATCTGCCAAGGGTTATGTTTTCACCCCTGTCTGTTTTTGTGTTGCAAGAAAAATACTTAACAGATTACAACATTTTGTAGAAGGATGTAGTATGGGCCAGGGAAGAACCCATTAGGGGGCAGATCAGGGACTTCTTCATCATTTACTTAACATTGCAAGATAGTTTGTTTTTTATCTCAGGCCATGGATCTTGATGAGGAACATACGGTATATTTAGGGAACTGAGTGTGTGCAATGCTGTGCAGCTTGTTTAAATTTAATTGGCGGAGGCATGCTCTCTATTGAGTGCCACTTTAGTTCTAAATCTAATTTAAAAGTTTTATCATTATTTTTGCTTTGTCTTTTCCACTTCACTGCTATGCCTTTTAAAGTATTTGTACTTTTTTTTTAACTAACCTTCTATGTCTCTTACTGTGTTTTCGTTTCTACAAATTTCAGTTCCAAGATTGTACATCTCATCTTTTTATCCATGCTTGTGTTGCCGCCCTTTGCCATGATTGCAAAGAAATGTGGGTCAAGTCATCTTATATGTTATGTGCTATATAAACTAATCTGACTGAGTTCCACCTTGAGCTGAGCTGACTTTAATCTTGATGTAATCATTGTGGCGAACAGACGGGATCACTTACTGATGCTTTGCAGACTGAGTCCGCGTGGAACCTCGTGAAGTTGCTCTTGTTGTAGACCGGCAGTCCCTTCAGAAAATCTCCCTGTGGACGCTACACAGCAGAGAAATATAAACACAAACACTTCGTCGAGTCCCTGAGTGAATGTGGTGCTGGCAGCTACCACAGCCATCTCATACGAGTTCCCATGGAACTAGCCATACCCCTCACAGTTTAGATATCTTAGGTAATGACTCACGGTCTGTCCTGTCTGTCGCCCCATAAGCACAACGTGTCTTTTAAACTATTAAAACTGATGCAATGCAAAGAGGCACGTATCCACCCACCTTCTCCATTTCGTGTGTTGACCAGCTCGGTCACAGTGAGAACGAACAGATGCTAGTCTGTTAGCTGCTGGGGCTTGATGTTGTTGTCGCGGCCAGTTTGTTGAACCCGTTCGACAGCTTCTACCGACGGCGACTAAATACAAACTACGTGTAGACTGGCTGCATCGTGTTGCTCCAGTCAGAAAGTTCCCGTCGTGTGATGATGATGATACAAAGACTGAAGCTGGACGATCCTCGGTGGTAAACCTGCTCCACTCACGACTCCATCTTTGTTGTTCGGATGTTCGGGGGCGGGTACCCTCCTGGATTCGACGTTTCTGATTGGCTAGGCGGTGGCGGATGTATGCCGAGAGAGAAGGTGGCGACGCGCTGATTGGCTGGAATGTGATTATGTAACAGACCAATCCTCCGGCACTAGGGGGTTGTGACGTCAGCTTCAGTGAAAACAACACAAGTCCCGGTGCTGCGTTCATGTGCTCCTCTGTATCTCCGTTGTATTCACATCGGGATGAGGAGAGAACTGATAAAAGGCTGATAAACAAAATGTGTTATAATTATGTGTTTAAAGCGGTCAAACGACACATCAGCACCTCTTCCCACCATTTACATAGCAAAGAGCAAAGAAACATGTTCGAAATTTATATTGAAAAGATTATAACAGAGTAGAATTACTGATTTTATGAACAAAGTTGCTTAAGAGCTATTTAATTTCTTCTCTGTCACGACTCATGATTGCTAATGAAGTTGCCTGTTTTTAACCTGAATTAACCATGTATACAAAAGCTCAAATTAAAAACAGGAAAATCAAAGGTTTGATAGACAATTTAAAGCAAACCATGTTCATTTTGCTACAAATATATATTTAAACGTCAAAACGTATACCTTTTTTAAGCTCACGTGCATAGACAGTAAATAGACTTGATTTTTTTTCATTTAAAACTAACAATGACAGTGATTTCACGAGATCATTTTATTAAAGATGCTTTTATTGTCTTTCATATTACAAGCCGAATCAATAAATCTGCTTACATTAAAGATTATCACCATAACTTCACAGAGATGTTGATTATTATTTGATATGGGTGGAATCAGGTCCATCAACAGTAATTGGGTGAAACTACCAGACTTCTTTTTACTCAAAGAAAATGCTGCTTGTTTGTTGGGGGCCGGTTTCACCTCTCCCACCTATTATCAATGTAGTGGGAAGGCCACACCTAAACCACACCCAGTATCACCAGTTCACCCAATAAACACGTTCTTTCCCTATTTGCTGAGCAGCTCCAGCATTTCAGATGTCTTTTATTTCTTGAAAGTCTCCTCAGGTTTTCCAACAGGAACCTTTAGTGTGAGAGGGATTTCCGTCCCTTTAGCATGCGCCGCAGAATCACTTCTATGCCTCCTCGAGAGCTGACCCTCTTGATCCATCCGTGGGTTCTCTTGCGCTTGATGTTCTTGGGTTGATACTCGGTGCCTCTTTTCTTTGTTCGAATCTGCTGGTATTGGCAGGGAAGCTGCTGGAACACTCCCGAACCCTCAGCTTGTGAAGAAAGTGGGCCGCATCTGGAAGTCAGAGGTGCTGGAGTTGCTCGGGCAGGATTCCAGCTGCTGAATAATCTGAGATGGGGGATGCCTGTTGATGCAAGGCTTCCTGCAGGGATGCTGCGGAAAGAGTACAGTTTACAATGTTACTCTTTAACATTATGCTACTGCTGCGATCACCCTCGCTTTCTAGTGAATGAATGGTGCTACACATCCAATGTCATGCTTTTCACCATCAACATAATAATTAGATCCATTCATGTACAAACTGAGAGCATATTTATCTGTTACCTTGATTCACAGCATGCTAACATGTAACGCTCATAATCTTATGTGTGTTAAACAAATTAAACACGTTGTTGTTGTTTGGATCTTCATACATGTAAAAGACAGTAGAACGCGAACATGTAAGGTCAATAGAAACACAACACGTGTAGATGTGCCAAAAACTGTTTAACTAGCCACGATGCTAACGTGCTACTAAAGCTAGTTAGCCAGAGTTAGCATCGTAAACAAACAGCATTAGCTACGTTTCTCGCACACACAAGTGAAACTCCTGTTACCTGCTGAGACGAGTTATTCCACTCAGTCTGGAGATGGACGACAGTAAAGTGTTCATTTTGGTATATTTAGACAGTTAACGCTGACATAAGATCAGTGAATGTCACAGGTCTGACAGACACCCTGCGAATATGAAGCACAGCGATTGGCTCAGGCGCTTTAGCCAATTGAAACGCGATTTACTGCGGAACTTCTCCCTGAGTGTTGTCTTTCAGGCAGTGAACCGACCACCAGCCCCTTCACTCGCGGACATCCCGTTTTTTTAAAGAAGCGTCCCTGGTTTCATTTCAGGGTCGTGGTTTGTGGCTAGCTTTTGATGGACAGAAGATAGTAAAGGTCTGGAATGGCAGGAGTATAAAGCCTGAGAGGAAGCTTTGTCTGACAGATTTTACCCAGGGAATAAAATCAAACTAAATAAATAGTATATAACAAATAATATACTTTATTCAAATTTCAATATAATATATATATATATATATCTTTTTCATTCATTTTTTTCCTTTTTAATCACTGTACTGTTTCTCAATGAATTCAACTACTGCGTAGTCTTCATAAATCAGTGCAGAGAAAATTATCTTAATTCAAATTGGGTCGAAATCATTCAAAGGGCTAAATGAGTCAATATGTCTGATATTCTAAAATAACATGTCTTTATTTATGCATTTACACCTGTATAAACCCCCCCAATACTAATGTGAGGGCTGACAGCTACGAGTTAGAGCACCACCCTGGCAGGTTGTCTGATGCCTGGTAGATGGTGACTGCTGTGTTTGTGCAGGTAAGGGAGACTGCGAGAAAAAGATGGCTTTTATTTTCCTGCTTAAAATCTAATGAGGTTTCTTACACATTCAGTGTGTGTGGCTGTGTCCCAACCCAGATTGAAGCATTACCTGTAGGCCCATGCAATAGGTAGTCTATGGATAGTTTTGTTATCTTTTTTGTTAAGTTTTCAAGTCATCACTATTAATAAATTAACTCCCCATAAGAAGATTCAGGGTTTGCCTCTCCCCTGCAGCTACACTACAGAGTCAGCCATCGATTGTAGCTGTAAAGTAGGTATTGAGAAGGTAATGTTTAATAGCATGTAAAGGGTGATCCATCTAATGTATTTGGTTGCCATTTGATTACTGACCTCGTCTCACCCCTCTTTGCAGATCAAGTGACAGACTGCTGCTTTGCCTTTACCAATGTTGTCTGGCCACTGGTTTCTACATTTGTTTTAGGTTGATCCAACGTCTCATGCATCACATTCCTGGTGTACTTTTGTGATTGTATTAAATGTTTTTTTATATTTACTGTGATCCTGAACCAACTGAGTCTCAATGGACTTTTTCTCTTTTCCTTGTTTTTTTAGGCAGCCAGACGACCTGCGGGGAGCAGTCGTGGGACGCACAGCACTTTGCATGCAGTGTGGTAGGCCTGAAGGGTGGTGGTCACTTGAACAGAGTGTTGTTGTTTGTCCTTGAAGTGTAAGTTGTGGAAGTGATCACTGTGGTAAGTACGCTCCCTGTATAATTGTCCCCGTTATTTATGTTAAAGTCTGTGTTGTTTCTCTCTCATCTCAGTAATTCGGTTATTTTAGCTTTTATAACTATTAGGGAATAAAAGTTATTGGATTTTACATATAATCGTCTTTTTTTTTTCTTTCTCAGATCCTCCATTCCACTTCTACCATTTTAAATAAAGATTTAATTATGAACTGAATGCACATCTTCTGCTCTTCTTGAGCCCCCAAAATTTGGTTGTGTCCATGCACACTGAGGTCATTGGGGTCTAGTACGACCTTTATGCTGTTTAAAAGACAAGTTTGTCAGTCTAGACACGGTGTTGGTCACACATCAGAACTGTATATTAAAATACAGAGTATAAAAGAAAATGAGATGCTTTTGTCATTTAAGGATCGGGTCACAAATGTGAAATTGAAGGGATGAGATGTTTATTGGCTTTTGAGTCATTTTCTTAAAACCAGTAGCATACAAACACTTGTTATTTATTCAATAACAGTAAGTACACAACTGTTTGCTCACAGCCCCCCACCCTGTCACTGTCATAGCTGTGCGGAGACAGGCACTGTCACTGTCCCAGTGTCGCACCAGACTGTGGTGGACGTGAGCTCAAGGTTAACAGAGGAAAACAGCAAATCTTCATCCAATAGAGGCCATTTCTCCTGACAGGGATGTTTCCAGGTGTCAGATCATCATGTTGAGAGAGATTTGTTGTTTACAACATATTGCACAATCCCTCCCCTGGTGCTTATGGTATTTTTTATATTTCATTTTCGTTTCCTATTTTCTCTTTTATATTTATACATGCACAAATACACCACAGCAAATTCCTTGTATGTGTAAACCTGCTTGGCAATAAATCCCGATTCTGATCATATAGGGAAAAAAAATCAGAATTTGAAATGGGACTACACATTGATTCCTGATCATGATCATGTGTCAGCTCATTTAGAAAAATAGCTGGAGCATCAGTTCATCTTCTCCATCACTCTCTCTCTGACTGCACGCACACGCACGCGCACAGTTGGCTATTCTGTCAGCCTTAGCAACAGGGAAACGAGCCTCTGCCATTGGCCTCATCTCTGCACACGCTGCTCCTCTATTCGCCCTCCGCGCTGCCACTCAGAGAGAGACCGCTGTGTGTGCTGCGGATACAAGGGCAGCAGGGTAGGGCCCGGCCTGGATGCGCAGTGGATGCTTGGGGAGAACAGCATCGCAGTGTGTGTGTGTGTTGTTGTTGTTTTTCCTTGAATCGTAATGGGTGTCTTGAAATGCATTTGGCACAATTTTAAGGAAGCTTGCGCTATTACCAACAAAGCAAACCCCTGTGATCGCAGTGTGATGATGCAAATAAGAAGCTTTGACTGTTTTGCAGCAGCATCTCCAGTGTAGACAAATTGTTGCACCAAATGCAGCGATTCTCTCATGTCGCCGTCGTCAGCCCTGGACTTGAGTCGTCTGCAGCAAATTTCTAACCACCTGAGTCACCAGTAATTCTGCAGGTAAGGGATGGACTTTAATTGCATTATGTTGACTAAGTAGCTGGTGTTTATTGTGCAACCAGCATCAATACAACAACGTTGCTTCATGCATATGTCCTGTGACAGCGCACAAATAATCCATCCATCAGCTATCGATCTATCACTAATATTCATGTTGCAGGTATGGCAAGCTACAAAAACCTGCTGTACTTCTAATCTTTCAAATATATCCTGCATAAACCTATATGAGACTTGTAAAAAAAATTTTTGCTACGTATGAAACATGAAACTTAGTGATTTATGTCAAATATTTTACACCTGCAGCCTATTATTGCAGTCTATGGGTTTCATGTTTTGGGGTCACAGGCTCATACAACCAGCCATGCCATAGGACATCTGTGCATGAGGCCTTTTAGCAGAAAGTGTGCCACAATGGTATTTTTTTTGTGCAATTATTTAATGTGTGCATATTATGTCACAGTGCGCCCTACTGTACAGTGCGTAAAGTCATGCTTTTGGAAATGGAGCAGCACACAGTGTTCCAGATTTGTGTTAGTGTAAAGACTTGACAGACACTTCAACCCAGATATTCTGCAGTGCAGACGGACATTTGAACATGGCTGAGTAACCTTCAGAGTGTTTGATGTCAGGGTTTGTTGATCTCCGATGCCAAATTAAAATCGTGGTTGGAGGTAGAGTGTGGAAGAGTAGGTCAGGAGGAGAATCTATGATTTAATAAACAAAACAGAGCTGCTTGGTACAGCTCTAATTAGTTTTCTATCAATGAGGTTTATCTCTATCTCTATGTCAGGGACATTCTAACTAAGTGACCATGTCTCATCATGCACCGCTTGTAGCTATGCAGAGCAAAGGATATTGGAGGAATCTACTGATATTCTTACTCTATAAAGACTGGTATAGGTTGATGGTACATTTGTAGTGGAGATCATTTTTGTTGATGTGTTGTTGTGTCCACCTGCAAAATACTATCATTCGTCTTACTGGACAAATAATGATCACATTTCTAAATACGCCAAAGCATCTTTATCTGCCTGATATAAATAATCATATTGGTGCATACTTTTTAACATATATACAGATACTGAATTATTTGTGATAGGAAAAGGCCAATGTAACAACAGATATTGGTCGGGCTCTGCTTGCAGCTGAGCTGACATTTAAAAACCTTCACAAAGAGTCAGATACCTTTAGACATGCAGCCGTTCCAATCAGACTGACAGCTGAAGCTGGCTGCAGCTTGTGTGCCTCTTGTGCCAGCGCTCCATGTTGATGTTGAAAGGGGGACAGTCGGCTGACGTTCACCCAGCTCCACTAGAATGTAACTGGAGAGCCCTTGATGCACTGACCTTCAGACAATCATGCACAGAACAGCACATCCACACAGACACATGGACACATGAACCCTCCCCTTTGTGATTAATGGTAATAAATTGAATTTTTGTCAACAAATGACTGAAATCTAAAGAACTTCTAAACAAACACAAACATGGAATCCTTGTATTTGTGATAAAGTGAATGCATCTCCTCTAGTTGTAGTTATCAGTGTGTTCAACCTGCTAAATGTATTACATTTGGTCTTTCAACTTGTCCATATATAGTTGGAACACAGGCATGATCTACACAACATGTAACATGATATTATGAGCATTGATGTGACTGTCAGCCCTGCAGGCGATGAGGTGCACACTGAGCTCAGCTTAAGAAGATACAGTAAAGCCGTACTGTACGACTCTTACCACTCTGTTTCCTGGAGATAACCAGCCTGTGTATGTATTACAACCGAGGACTTCACTTACACAATATGACAGACTGCAGTTTAGCTGTGACTGAACCATTTCCAATACTTTTTTTAGTTTCCTCTCCACTGGAAACGGTGATATCCTGGAAAACTGCCATCAAACTGCCTGTTGTATGCAGGCATGTTCTCGGTCATGCCACATGACTGGTTGTTTTCTATTTATATATATCCTGATTCTGACCACGTGAAAAGGACAGGTTATTAATAGAAAACGTGAAGGCCGGCTCGGACTTCTTTGACATATAGGGAACAAGTGTTGTTTTCACAATGTTCTGTTTGTGAATGTGGAAGCTCTGAATGCTACGCTGCTTCGTCACCCAGGTGAGTGTGTCAGTGGAGCTTTAGCTGCACCTATACTGATTGTGGTATATTGCATTTGCATAGTGGTTCCCAGCCTGTTAAACTGAAAGCATTTCGGTGTGTTGCATTTCACTCGTCACTCGTGTGTGGTCTGATCAGAGGATAAAGGAGAGTGTTTCATTGTAACTGTTGCTAGGAAACAGCTTGGGCCCAATCTTATAGGAATCCAGCTTGGGCCCAATTTCATCCTGGTGAGCTGTTGACATTTTGCAAACACTGCAAACCTGGACTATCATACTCATGCTTGAAACGTATTGAAAAACATGATGCTGGTAGGAGTAGAGAAACAAGCTTCCCAGACCCACACATGTTCATGCATCTTGTACACTCCATATCCTGCTTGTGTGCTATGTTTCAAAGCAAGTATCTGACTCATGATCTGCTTTGCTCTATCTTTGTTGTTGTTTCTGCAGGGGGCGCCATGCTGACCAGCATCACTGAGGGGATCCTCTGCTGCCTGACTGGGAAGGCTGACAGTCTGGTCTTGCCCTTGGAGTCGTCAGAACCCTCCGATGGGTTTGAGTTTGTGGAGGTGAAACCTGGGAGAGTCCTGCGAGTGCGACACATTGTCCCTGAGCGTCAACCCGTGGTGACGGAAGACCAAGTTGCAGTCAAAGAGAAGACGGACGGCAACTGCGACGATGTCAGCTCTCCTGAGTGTAATGAGAGCAACACTGGCAGCAGTGTCCACTGCAAGAGGAAGATCACTGTCTACCGCAACGGCCAGCTGGTGATTGAGAATCTCGGTGACGTTTTGCACTCTGAGATCCTGCAGTGTCAGGATGGGGATCTGGAGCCATGCAGCACTGTGGAGGTGGAGCTTGCAGACTACAAAGAAATAGCCTCCTCTCCAGACCCCAATCCTGTTCCTCCTCCGGTTCCTCCACCTCCAGGGACACAGAAGCCTGCTCCACCTCCTCGCCGCCGCCGTCGCAAGCCCAAGCGCACAGTGTTTATAGACTCAAATAGGGTGATCTCAAGCTGCAAAGGGACGCAATCAGATGTAGCACTGTTCTTTGTGCATGGCGTGGGAGGCTCTCTGGACATTTGGGGCAGCCAGCTGGACTTCTTCTCTCGGCTGGGCTATGAGGTCATTGCGCCTGATCTGGCGGGGCACGGAGCCAGCACAGCCCCACAGATTGCAGCAGCTTATACTTTTTATGCCCTGGCTGAGGATCTACGTGCCATCTTTAAGAGATACGCTCGGAAACGCAACATTCTCATTGGCCACTCATATGGGTGAGTCTTTGCAAGATGCTTTATTCAAAATCTTTCACCACCAGTAACTTTTGTAGTCGTTTTTTAAAAACATGCTGTCTCCATCTTTTCCAGGGTGTCATTCTGCACCTTCCTGGCCCATGAATATCCCGATTTAGTCCATAAAGTGGTGATGATCAATGGAGGAGGTCCCACAGCTCTGGAGCCCAGCCTCTGCTCCATATTCCAGTTGCCATCTTGCGTCCTTCACTGTCTGTCACCGTGTCTGGCCTGGAGCTTCCTCAAGTAAGAGCATCACTGGTGTGGTGCAGAAAATTGTCA